TTTTTGGCAGGCTAGAAGTACTATATTTGACATATTTACAATGTGTTAATTGAATGGTGTCTTAATGTCAAGTTGCTCGTAGCGTAATCCTTTATCCAGAATTTTCCTTTATGCATTAGTACTATGCTATATTCTTCATCCAAGCTATGAACTATTGAGGAATCAAGTTTTTTATGATCAATCATGAGTTGAATTTTGAAAAATAGTATGCATTTCTGTGTTCTTTTTATGATCAATCATGAGTTCTCTATCCTTTAACCGGCCTTTTCTCCATCTCTATGTGTTTTAGGGTTAAAATCAGTCTTTTTTCTGATAATTTAGTGTGTGGGTCATGTGAATGAGGAAAAACAGGTTACATCATTGCTTTCTATTTGTCAAATTGTAGCTTTAGGTAACTTCTTGTGTTAATTATGTTGGGAATCCAACAAAGAATATTTTCAGACACACAATTATGCAAATGTATACATGTGTACTTATGTATATAGATATATATGTATATATTGTGTTAATGTATCTATCACTTGTTACAGTAGTACTCAACACCTATTGCGGGTGGAAGCGAAGCTAGTAGAAATTCTATCATACTCCAGCCATCCTAGTGGAAGCTGAAACTGAAAAGTAGGCCATGAGTATTTCTTATCCTTTTGTTTTTTTTGGCTTCTTAGCTTGTTTGGATTGTTCCGCATGAAAACTATTGCTCCTTAGTAACAGGATCTCCATCAGCTAAAGAGATGTTGGATATTCGGTTGCCGTATGATTTTTGTTTGTTTGGTACAACTTCGAACGTTTCCTACCATGTTCAGTAATTGAGACTTGGTCTGTTAACATAATGACAAGTGTAAACAATGTTTCGTTAGATTGATAATGCTACCAAGGGATTTGCTGTTGCGGAATCAGTGACCATTCCATTCCAGTAGGGGAGGTTTAGGTGGTCTTTCCATTCCAAAGAAAATGTCATCCCGTCCCTTCTCAAAATTCATGACAGTCCTTATACCTCTATTTGTGACTACAACTTTTCATTTTTCCCCTCCTGTGGACTGGAGCCAGGGTAGGACACCTTACCTTTTGATTGGAGGGGGCTCTAAAAGTAATGTCTGCCAACCTTTCTATGAACACTTATAATAAGTTGAAAAATTTACAATAATTGGATAATTCTTTTTAGTTACATACTCATGTCATTTTAAATATAATTTTAAGATTATTTGAAATCTAAAAAAGACAAAGATGAAAAGGTTGGACTTTTGGATGACGAGGTAAAGATGCATGTGTAGATGGATAGTTCTATAGGCATGCCATTTGACTTATGGCTATGTTCTAAATGGATCATAGAAAATCATGGTATGGTGTGATGTCAATTGGTAATTTAATCACTCATCATCCCAAGGATACTAAGGTCAAACCCATTCTATTCCCATCGTGACTCACACTCCACTTCTGGCTTCTCTTTGATTTTTAACTCATGCTCTAAATGTTACATTTAAATGTCCATGAGGTGAATTCTATACTTTGCTCCTTCACTCATTATATTTATGTAGTGTTTTAGTGTTTTTTCTCTTTGAATCCAACTAGATCTTGATTTCAACTTTAGCTATTTCTGTGAAGCACTTATGTATGGGGCTTCAAATGCAATGTGTGAGAATAACTGAAGCTATATTGCCGTTGAGCATACTTAAGGAGTTCTCTAGCAATATTACATAACATTTTGGGTACTTTCTAATGCCTATTTTATCCTATAATGATCTTCGGTGCAACAAATATTGAAGTCATTGTTGGATCAAACGTAAACATAAACGGACCACGTGTTGTATTTTTAGGTGCGGCATAAGGCGGTGCCACTAGCTGATGAGAAGCTATCAGAGTACAAGAGCGATAGGATTGTAGGTGTTGGATTAAACTTAAGATCAACATTGAATTGCTTCATTTTATACTTGAGAAATTAGCATGTTAATAACTAATAAATGTTTGATTTGGTTATAAGATGTCAATCTCCTCTTCGAGGGAGGCTTTAGCTACCAATGCAAGTCCTATTGGTTTATTTTTTTTCATTCTTTCACGTCATTATCCAGTTTTGGGATTTGAAGAAAATAAATAATGTTGGATCTTGATGTTTTGAGTAGATTAATCATTTTAATATCACACATAAAAAAGATCGAGGTTTATACAAATGATTTTTTAATTCATTTTCCACACTTTATAAAATTCATGCCCATATTTTTGTATTTGTGTTTGTGTGTGATAGTTTGAGATTCTATTTGGTTACTGACAAAGTTTAGGGATACAAAAAATACTGAAACTTTGAAGTTATGTATATTATGTTATTTGTTTTCTGGATAAAGGAATGTGATTTTTTTTTCTTTTTTGTTAGAAACAAGTCATTTCGACACTTTGACAATTGAGATAAAATATGTTAGTTGAGAAAAAATGTTCATTTTCACAATACCTTTTCACACTATTAGTAAGTCTCCCAGAAGCAAAACTATCATGTGACAATAATGAATAGAAACACCAAATGTTCCTTACTTCTGAAATTGAAAAGGAGTAAAATCTAAACTTATAGGAAATACAACATGTTGAATGCATAAATATAGTCATTATTGCCAACAACCCCATGATTCAATGGAATATTAGCTCCCCTCTGCAACCATGGAACCAATTTGAGCAAATGAAATCTAAATTTGATATTAAGCAAAATCACACTATAAGTAAAGTAAGTTCATTTAGATAATGACAAAATATGTAGTGCGAATTTGGAGCGACAAGGATGCATTTAAGTATTGGTGGAAGTTTCTTGCTACCAAGCAAATTCCAAAAAATAAAAAATGGTGCAAGTGGATAGTAAAGTAAGGATTATAATTTTTTTTTTTTTGCTGGCGTAAAGTCTTATTAAATCTAAATTGGATCGAAAAATAAATAACATAGAAACAATTCCATGGAAATAATTATTTTCATGGTTCAAAGTTTTTTATCCTGGTTTTTCATTATGTGGAAGATTGAATAACATTTTGGTGAGCTTTTTTTCAATATTTGATACTCAAAATAATTAACGTGCAACGTACGTATGCATCAACTAATATTATTAAAAATAAAAAACTCAAAACACTAGAAATTATGATTTGTGGAATGGAAGCCTATGAGGGATTGTAGATCCATCTCTTTATAGTATAGAGATACATAGGTTAATTAGTAAAATTTTTCATACTGGATATATCTAGCCCACACACCCCCTCGAATAAACCTAGTTGTAATAGTACATAGATATATATTCACACATACACACTTTTGAGAAGCACTCATTTTATTTACTCTTAGAACATCTCTAAACCTAATTATAATTTAGACTCAAATTTAAATTTGAGTAAAAAACCTAAAAAATTTGTTCTAATATTTGACTCGAATTTATACCAAATTCAACAAAAAAAACTTTTGGACCCAAATTGAAAGAAACTTGGACCCTCCATCAAAATTTTAACGGGAACTTTTCTCTCCCACCTAAATCCAAGATGTTTTTTCTTTTGTGCACGACGCTTCCCTTCAACACCTCTGCCAAGAGCACCGATGACATCAAAGAGTTTTAGGTAATTTTCTACCTTTTTCATTTTTTAACTTTTTTCTTTTCATCGTGTATTTTCTTCATTTTCACCTAATTTTCCATACTTTGAGCTTGTCCCGACTTCTCCATCATCATCGGAAACATATTCACAGGATTTTTTTTTTTTTTGCAAAGCTGACAAAAAATAGGCACCGACTGAGTTGAGACTCGAGATGAGAGATTGCGGTCAAGGACACTAATGGTGGATTGGATGTAGAGAGATGTGAGTTTATTGAACTAATTTATGGCAATTCAATTTTTTTATTCAAATTTGAGTGAATTGACTCACCATCAGGTGAAATTTGGGTACATAACTCTATACGTCAGTTCACCTCCAAATGATACCCTTCTCTCTCCGATGGCAATCACCGACTCCGATCACAAAACCCAAATCAATGGCAATTCCTAAGTAGCCATTTCCTGTCAATGTGGACCGTATGTTCGGCGTCGTTGAAATCCCTATCATCTCCCTCGCCAATCGCTCCATCCCTCTCCGATTCCGATTCATCGCCTAACGTAACGAGCAATCGGCCAGGTGTGCCACCCCGACATACGGGTACCTCACCAACCAACAGGGAATCCTCCTCAGCGTCTTAGGCATGGCAGCGTCCATGGTCTCGCGAGTCTTTCCAACACCACCATTAACACCTAGCCCATGGTCATCTTTGACTCCTGCAATCAAAATGCCTCCAGCCGCGGCGATTTGCAAGAGCTTGATCAAATCGCGTCAATTAAATGCTTCTCGAGATTTGCCACAAAAGCCACTGATATCAAACTTTTCCCTAATTGTGTTTTTGAAGTTATTCACTGGGCCAATTTGGGCCGACTTGGTGCGTGTTACTTGGACTTAATCTCCGTAGTGCTTCACCAAAACTGAATTGGAGGCCGATAAATTGATAATTGATACTTAGAAATGTAGAAAGAAAGAGGAAGAAGTGACGGAAGTGTCAAAGATTCAAAGATTGAAATGGCAGTTTCGATGTTGAGAGAAGACAAGCAGAGAGCCCGTTGATTGTATTTGGTAAGGGCGCTACCATTGCTAGAGCAGAGAATGAGCTAAAGAAGTTAGTTGAAAGCACTGAAATTCTATTTCTGCCAACTCCAATGGGAAAGGGATTGTTGCCTGATACACATGAGCTAGCTGCAACGGGGGCAAGGCCACTGAAAATTGGGAAATGTGACGTTTGCATTTAGGAGAACCTCCAAAGTGGTCCAAGGATATGAATTTTTTATTAGTTGATATATGTTAGGAAGAGATTGACCTAAGGAAGTCGAATGTCGGATTTCGTTGGGGATATGAAAAGGGTTTTGGAATGATTCATAAGGAGATTAATAATGACCTTTTTTGTTTGGGGAAGAATCATCCTTCGGTTGAGGCGATAATGAAGAGGCTAAGGAAAATGTGTTAAGAATGGAGGCACAATTGGCTAAGGATGTTCGGCCATTCAATTTTATGACACCAATGAGGATGATTAGGGATGCAATTTTGGGATTGGGTAGTCCTGCTTCCATATTGGTGTCAGAGGGGGCGAACACAATTAATGTTGGTCGGGCTGTGTTGATTCAGACGAAGCCGAGGAGTAGGTTGGATGCCGGGACTTGGGGGACAATGGGGATGGTCTGGGATATTGCATTGCTGCGACAATGGATTCACTTGGTCGGCTTGTGGTTTCTGTTGAAGGGGTCTCTGGATTTGGGTTTTGTTCCATGGAAGTTGAGGTTTGTTCCCTTGCCAAATATTATTGTTCATTTAGTGCTAATTGATAACCCAACACTCGTGGACTTTGCCTTATCCGTTCAATTATGAATGAACATAATGCTGATGCTGAAGTTGAAAAGTTTATCTTCTAGATGATTTCATACGGATTCAAGGGTTAAAGTTGCTTTTATTGTTTTATTAATAATAAGTTCTAAGGGTAGAGTGCATATTTAGTTGTCATCACTTATAATTAGAATATGTTGCTTGCACAACATTCTCCCATGTTTTATAACTAGGGGTAACCCGTGCTAGAATGCACAGTTCAACGTAAACCTAGATTGTTGAGAGGGATGTTGGTGACCGTTAGACGAGTCTATTTGAGACTGTCGGATGAGCTTATTGAAACCTGTCCAGTTTTATATTATAGATATCCTATTATCGGTGCCTATTCTTTTGAGGAATAGATAGGGTTACTGTTCTACAATAGACAAGTCTCATACAATTACTATCAAATTTTCTTTTATCACGCAACAGCTGTAATAGAATGTTGAATTTTTTGAAGCCACTTAATTGGGTGAATTTTTTTTTGGCTCATGATTTGAGTCGTCCACAAGATCCTACATAGTTCACTCAACATTTCAAAGACTATGAAAAAATCACCTTCAATTTTATCTAAAATAGTCACCTTTATTAATCTTGTTTGTGGTATTTATGGTCACTGGTCATGGCAAATTCTGTTCCTGTCCAAACTAGGTTGCAACAGACATGGTTTGACTGCTAGACATAATCAATGATCACCACTTGCTTCAAATGCTTGTGATACGATATGGGGAAGTATTATTTGATCTTTGCTACCCATGGAGGCCTGTCCCAATGGAAATCAAACCTTGCATTACCACTTGAAACTTGCCATTTCCAGCAAAGAATTTTCTGCAACCAACTAAACAACGCCTAATATTGATATCCATGGATGCAGAAATGTTATAGGTCTAGCCTTTCATTTTGTTCAACATCAATTGACTCTATTAGCCTATTGGATTCAATAGTATGGAATGTCTCTTTGCTCTATGCTTGCACTCAGTTCAGTTTCCTCAATTATGGCTGCTATTTGATTAGTTATTTACTCAATTCTTAATTGGGATATATTGTATTCCTTCCCCCTAAAAAAATAGAAAGTTTCTTACAAGAATGTAGTAGGGTGGAATTACCAGGTTTGCTTATCTTGTGATCACACTCTTCTATGCCTTAGAGTTGTTGCTTTGTCCATGTGTTCTTCTAGAAAGAAAATAGTTCAGATTTGTGAGACATTGCAATAGTAACTGTTTTGGCTGTTCTATTTTTGTAGAATCTTTTCACTTTCAAAAAATTCAATTTAAAATAAATTGTATCTCTTCAAGGATGCATTTATTGGGTTTTTTTCTTGCTTTTGGCCCATAATGGAATCTGAATCTGTTGTACCTAGAGAAAGTATTACATGAGAATTTCATTTCTGCCTTATACCACCTTGCTATGTGCCTTGTTTTTCAAATTTGTTGGGTTGCTAAGCAATACCTGTGATTCTGTTTGTCTTAGTACCCCATTTGTGGTTCAAAGTATCTGCCCTCTGGACACGCCATGTGAATATCACAAGTATCACCTAAATTGGGGGTGACTCGCTTACAACTATGTAGTATTGTTTAGACTTAGAGTTATATCTGTATGAATCGAACATTGCACACCAGACTCATTCCGATTGTTGAGGTCTTCCAAAAAATCCACAAAATTTTAGATAAAGTGCAAATGGCCAAAGAAAAAGGGAAAGTGAGAAGAAAAGGATGAACCCACATGAAAATCTGAAATTTTTCGACCAATACACCACGTGGGCAGATTCACTCCACGGGAAGACAAAAGCAGTTAAAGAATTGTAAGGCAAACTTCTTCTTCTTCTTTGTGCAGAAGGTAACAAGTAGCAGTAGCAGTGGTCTAGATCCCGCCTTTCCAGTGATTGACTGCGACTTGAGCCTCTGATTGCATCGTCGGAGATGATTCATCTTGCAGGTCATCTCTTTCTCTTCCCCCCCCCCCCCCTTCTCTCTCTATTACGATTTGTCTTTCAAGTCTCTCTCTCTCTGGTAGACAAGCGACCAGTCCCATAAGAGTCAAAGGACACTTTGTTTGTGCTTTTTAAAGGCTATATTTCTATTGTTTTTGTTTGTCATCGTTCTCCTTAAAGGCTATCTTTCTTTTGTAGTTTTGTCATCTTTAAAACTGTCTCTGGAATTGTCCTTTAAAAAAAAAAGGTTTTGGGCATATTTATATTTTTAATCCTTTCTGGATCCTTAAAAATAAAGGTAAAAATAACGTTAGATTTAGAGTTGAACTCGGACAATAGTTTAAATTTACATTTCTTTGCATTTTAAATTCAAAAAGTAAATACAAAATTACAAAAAAATAAATATAAACTCCTACTATAAATTTTGGCTCGATTCATTATTAAATCCTTACATTGAACACTTATGATTATAAATTTTTCTTGTAGCTCCCAAATAATTAATTTCTACTATGGTTACTGTATTAGGTGATATATTTTGAACATAAAATGCATGAACGTTGTTAATATTTTTCCATAATTTTAGAATTTTTTGGGCCTTTTGTCTAGCATTTTGTGCATATTGGTTGATACCATACTGCAAAACCGCGACTGATATGTATTAATGCCCTCCGAGATGAGGACTGACGCAACAACCTTGTGCTCTCACCCCTTGGTTAGAACTTAGAACTAAGGGTTAGGGGAATGCAAATATTCGCATTTGTTAGGGATCACCTACTCTTTGTTGTAGCATCCCGGCTGCCTTCTTTCGGTTAGTATATTTATTATTTGATTATGAAGCACAAATACTTCAATTAGGTCAAAAGTATCTATATCGGATATAATGCTCATCGGAGATGCAAGTATACGTATCAAATACGCTCTCTACTTATCTTACAAAAGATAAAATAATTATTATATCTGAAAACGTAAGTTCTAATTTCAATTTTTGCTTCTAGTGTGCAATGATATATCAAAAAGAAAATTCATGACTTTGAAAACAAGTGTGTGTTTTTTAATATCATCTACTATTGATATGGAAAGGACATAATAAGGTTTAATCACACCTTATCTCTTATAAATAAGTACTATTAAGCAAACCAACTAGATCGTAATTTTGTGGGTATTCAGTGATGAGACTATATGTTTCTTTCAAAGTAAAAATGATTTAATTTTTGATTTATTATTAAAGAATTTATTGAAAATTATAATCATCACATTGTTAGATTATAGAAAAACATGAAATATTTTTTAATGTGGATGTATCTTGGCGGTATTTGTGTCCTATCTTTTCGCTATGTTTCCATTTCCATATCCCGTATCCATATCTGTGGTTCATAGTTTTCTGAGCAAATTATGTACCTTGAGATCTTTGGGCGAAGTTTCAATATTGGCAAGTGACAAATGTCTAACAATGAGGTGCTGGGGGTGAGGTGGGATTGCTAGTTATTTTCCACCAAAAAATATTGCATATGGAATCCAAGGCAATATCTTAAAGTTTTCAAGGTTGAAATAGTTTATAATTCACAATTACAGCAAGTTTTCGGTTCTTACCCCACTTCTTCCTTGATTTGACAGTTGCTATGGATTTATAATATTATTAGTCTGGCTATGTTGTTGTTGTTGACAGTTGGAAAAAGAATGTCAACATATGTTTCTTTTTTGCTTTGGTTTTCTTGGCTAGGCAAATAAAATTTATTATGTAAACAAAGTCAGCGCATGATGATTTGTGTTCTAGAATTGAAAAGCTTGGATTAGATATGCTGACAGCTTAGCTTAATTAGTAATTTTTTTTTCGCGTATTTGTCTGTGCGCGCACGCACCTGTCATTCTTTCTTCAATATTTCATCTAAGCATCTTTTAGGTGGTGTTTATCCAATTCCACCCTGAAACTGTGATTGCTAGGCAGTGATAAGTTTTTGTTTTGTTTATCTTCCTTGTAAAATTAAATATCTCATGTCAAATGCTTATCATGTTGCTTGTATTCTTGATGACTCGATTACCTTGACTGCTGCACCAACAGAAAGTCTTTCTTTTAAACTAGTTAAGGCTGGATGGACATCTGATTCACCCACCAGCTCTATCTTGGCATTTTTATATATTCCTACTTTTATTATATCCTTTTGCCACCTTTATCTATGCTTATATGGTTATAAGTGCTACACATTTCTTTGAACTCTGCAGACATTGGTACGATATAAGTTGCATCTGGTGGTTATAGTCGTTAAACACTAGTGGTGTCTATTGTCCCTGGTGCAAGATATCATCTTCTAATTGAAGCTTTTGAGGGAAGAGGTTATGTTGTGACATCCAATGAACTCAAATCTGCACTATCGGAATCTTTTTCTGTACAAATGCCTGCTATCATAAGCGTTACAATCGATTTATGTGCTGGTGCAAAACTGGGAGGTTGCAGCACAAAAAACATGGTAAGCTGCAGCACAGCGATTCATGGTTTGTTAACCCTTGTTGTTTGAGTTTGTTAAATGTTTTCTGTTTGTCAAGGTGGTCAGTTAAATTCTAAGCCTGTTCAATAGTGTAAAATTTATAAAGCTAGTTTCCTGGTTGTTGTTAGCATTTAGGTGCGCAGTCATAACTCCATTTATACGTTGGCATTAGAGGATTACAATTCATGATACTTGACCTAGTTGGTGTACAATATCAAATCGACTCCATCTACCGAGTGCATGCTTAAGCTGATTGTCACAATGGAAATGCATATTAGAGCTTGATAGTGTTCATCAATTTACCATTTTCACTTTTTCTTTAGGATCTGTAAACACTGTCTTTGTTTAGTTAGCAATTAGATTGGTGAATAGAAATTGAAACTGCAGCATGCTCTCAAGACTTGTGGAGGCTGAACAAAAGAAGGTTCAGGTTTTTTGTGCTAATGGTTGCATGGTAGAGTCCTCTGTTGTTGCTTGGTGCTACACATGATACAAAGTTCTTAATCACCTTCCAGTGCACCTTAAAATTGGGAATTCAATTTTTTTGCTTTTGTGTGTTTCTAATCTTATATTACATGTAAGATAACTTGAATCATTAAGGACCTATAAAATAAATCACCAGCCATAAGCATATGGATCTCTCCCTCTCTCTCTCTCTCTCTCAAGAAAAAAATACAAAAGAAAATGCATATTAGAAGTTGTACATATGACTTGTCAACTTGTACCTGTGAGTAATTGCGCGGTACAGACTATTCCTTCCTCACTTTACTGAGTAGGTAATTTTCATTGGATTATATGAATACAAGATTTACTGCATGAAAGTCCGATTTCTTAGTGAATTAGAGCACAAAAATCTTATTTCATATCAGACTTTTCTGCCAGCTTTCCCAGTATTTTGTTAATTGTAGAGCATGTTAACTGATATTACAAGAAAGAGAGGGGGGTTGGGTGGGTGGGTTAGTAATAGCACCTTCAATAGCCTTATTTACAAAAAATGTGCCGTAGAGATTTGACAGCCTCTGAAAATTGACTTGTTAAAGTGTAAACATTGTTTTCTGGCTCCGCCTGCTCCTATGTCAGACACCGACTCTAATCACAAAACCCTAAGCTACGAAAACTCCCCGATCACCATGTCCCTAGCACGTGCCGGCGTGGCCTGCATGTTTTGTCATTGGAATACTGCTCACCTCTCTCGCCAACTGCTTTGTTGCCCTCAGAATCCGATTTATCGCCTTGCACAATGAACAATCTGCAGGTTACGTTGTCTCTGCCTACGAATATCTCACTTGACCGTCTATGGCCCCGGCTGCTTCCATGGCCTCATAAGCTTCTCCAATGCTAGCATTAACGCCTGACCCATGGTCATGAACTCTGACTCGTACGATCGCGGCGACTTGCAACTTTAAAGAGCTCGATCAAATTGCAGTGGTTAAACTCTTCTCGGAATTTTCCATAAAAGCTACTGATATCAAACTTAGTCTTAATTGTATTTTCGATGTTATTTACTGGCCCAAATTAGGCCAATAGGGTGGTTTTTACTTGGACTCGCCCTTCGATGTACTTCACCAAACTGTTTCTGAATCAAAGGTCGAGAAATTGATAACTGATGCTCCTAATTGTAGAAATGAAGAGGAAGAAGTGATGGGAAGTGTTGAATATTCGGAGATTGAAAAGGTAGTTTCGATACCGAGGTTGGCAGAGAGGTCGTTAATTGTGTTTGTTAAGAGCGTTGCCATTGCTCGAGCCGAGAATGATCTAAAAAAAGTTAGTTCACTAGAATTGTTTGAGAGTAAAAAAGGTGCACAAATTGAGTGCAGAGCTCTATATATATAGCTAAATAAGAGTGCAACTGACCAAAACACTCCTTTGGTATGGGTAAGATATAAAAATCGTATTACGGGCAAAAAAGGCAAAAAATAATTTATTTTTTTTTGTATGTGTCTGAGTGTGTGTGCTATTATCTTTATTTCTTTAGTATTTCATGTAAGTATCTTTTAGGTGGTGTTTATGAAGTCAATTCCACCCCGAAAGTGTGTGATTGCTAGGCAGTGGCAAGTTTTTCTTTTGCTTCTTTTCTTTGTAAAATTACATGTCTCTTGTCAGATGCTTACCGTGTTGCCTTTATTTTTGATGATTCGTTTACCTTCACTGCTGCACCAACAGAAACTCTTTCTTTTAAACTAGTAAAGGCATTTATTATTTCCTTTTGCCACCTTTATCTCTGTTTGTTTGGTTTTAAATGCTGCGTGTTTCTTTGAACTCTGCAGACATTGGTACAATACGAGTTGCCTGTGGTAGTTATAGTCTTTAACAATAGTTGTGTCTATGGTGGTTGACCGGAGGTGCCCTGAAAAAATTACAGGACCTTACAAAGAGGATCCAGCACCCACATCTTTTGTCCCTGGTGTAGGATGTCATCTTCTAATTGAAACGTTTGGGGGAAGAGGTTATCTTGTTGGGACACCGTTGAACATAGATACGCACTTTCTGCATCTTTTCCTGCACGAAGCCTGCTGTCATAAACGTTACAATCGATCACATTAATAAATGTGTATAATCATCATTGGCTCGTGGCATGAGTTTTTCTTCTTCAATGACTATGTTGCAAAAAGGGCAGTTTGATTTGTGAAATTTTTGTTATTATTCAACTTTATGTAATATATTACATAAAGAGATAGCTTGACTGACTCGAGTCTATGCTGCTCAGTTTTACCTAACAAAAATGTTACCTCTGTTTAGAAATTTATACTCAACAAATTATTGTGATAAATTTTTACGATAACAAATTACCCCTCATCCAAAAGAAAAATGAAAAATTATTGTGAACTCCTTGAAGTTCCGTTCCATGAATGGAGATAGGTATGTATCGCAACCCAATCACCTGGTTTACTTTTATCAAATATCAAAGTGATTGGAATTTGGAACCATGTGAAATGCTGGAAGAAAATAATTGAGAGAAAGAAACTGAGAGCTGCATGGCTCCATAACATTCAGGGAGAATTACACTCCAATTTTTTAAGATTTGTCACTTAATTATTCAAATTTTTTTTATATTTAAAATATTATACACAGATTTCCTAAACTTTATATACGTGTAACACTTAGACTCCTGTTGGAAATATATTTTTTAATGAATTATACTTTAACCCCCTGAAATTTGTAGATATATAATATTTAGACCCCTTAAATTTAAAATATTATACTTAGACAAAAAATACTCTAATAAAATATAGAATATCAAATATTTTAAATTTTACAACCAAAATTTATGTATCATTTATTGAAATAAAATTAAAATTAAAAATTTAATTTTTAAAAAAAAATCGTAATTAGTATACAATTATACTACCTATTGGAATAAAATTAAAAAAATCAAACAAGAGGTCTAAGTCATTCATAATAGAACATGAATTTTACATCCAAAATTTATGTTCTACTATGTTATTTATTTAAATAAAATCAAAAATAAAAGTCTAATTTTTTAAAAAAAAAATCATAGTTATTATATAATTATACTATCTATTAGAATAAAACTAAAAAATTAAACAAGGGGTCAAACTGTAATTAACACAATATCTTTTAACTTTAATTGGGGTAGTTTAATATTTTAATTTAGTCGTTTAAATGACCAAATTAAATTTTATTAGACAATATAATTATAAACTAATTACGATTTTTTAAGAAAAAAATTGAATTATTATTTTTGATTTTATTTCAATAAATGATACAATAGAACATAAATTTTGGTTGTAAAATTTGAAATATTTGATATTTTATTTTTGATTGGAATATTTTTTGTATAAGTATAATATTTTAAAGTTAAGGGGTCTAAGTATTATATATCTATAAACTTTAGGGAGTCTAAGTATAATTTATACCTGATATATTTATAACAAGTGTCTAAGTGTTATTTGTATAAATTTTAGAAGATCTATGTGTAATATTTCAAATATCAGGGAATCTAAATAATTAAGTGAATAATAAAGGTCTAAGTGTTATGTGTACAGATTTTAGAGGATTTATGTGTAATATTATAAATATCAGAAAACCTAAATAATTAAGTAACAAATTTTAAAGAGTGTAAGCATAATTCTTCCTAACATTTATCAACTATGTAGTTGGGTGGGTGTTGATGGGTCTAGTCGTCTTCCCTGGTCAATACCGTGTGGAGCCCAATGTGGAAATATGATGGCTCAAAGCTGTAGGGCCACTCGTTTTTCTCTGTAAATTTCCCTAACATTATTGGAACTTATACATACAGTGTTTTCTTTCCTTTCCCTTGCGATTTGCAATTTGCAATCTTTTCCACTGTTGTTCAGGATAGAGTTCCAAAATCTGGAGAGTATGGCAGATGCTAAATTATAATATCTGAAATAAAAATTATATTAAATTATAAATTAATTAAATATTAAATATTAAATATTAAATATTAAATATTAAATAATTGAGTATGTGATAAAATGGATGATGCGATTAAATTTATTGAGAAAATATGTGAGAATTCTCCATAATTTAATATATAGATGGCTGTAAATTTTGGCTTTAAATTCAATGGAGAGTTTGGATTAAGATCTTATCCTAATCTTTTCTCTGTCTTTTTCTTTTATTCGTAGCCACTCGGAGAGAATTGGTGGCTGTTAAAGTTCCTTTGGGCTCCACACGGTGAGCAATAGTATTGGTTCCTTTTCTTTATGAGAACTGATACTGCTTTTTTCATTCATTTCCGTTGCCAAAGTGTGAGCAATAATATTGGTTGATCAACAATACCGTGTAGAGTCCAATCCTTTCTGATCTCAAGTTCCTTCTGGGTAGAGTTCCAAAATCAAAGAGAGAGAGAGAGAGTATGGCAGATGCACTTGTTTCTGGCCTTGTGAGTACCATCTTGCGCAACTTGAATTCTTCCCTACTGCAAGAATTTGGGGTAGCTTTGGGCCTAAACGATGAGATACAGCGTCTTGAGAGTATTTTTACTACAATTCAAGCTGTGCTTCAAGATGCGGAGGCTAAGCAAACGAAGAGTGAGGCTCTGCAGAATTGGCTGAGAAAGCTTAAGGATGCAGCTTATGATGTCGACAATATCTTGGATGATTTTGCAACCGAAGCTCTCATCCGAAAGGAAAACCATCAAAGAGGTGTGATAAACCAAGTAAGTGCCTTCTTCACGTCTGGAAATCCTTTCGTATTTCGCTTAAGAATGGCTCATAAGGTGAAAGATATAAGGGAGAGATTAGATGCCATTGCAGGGGAGAGGGTTAAGTTCCATTTGAAAGAGGGTGTCACAGATTCACAAGTTTATGACATGGAGAGAAGGCAAACTAGCTCACTTGTGAATGAATCAGAAATTTATGGTAGAAATGAGGAGAAAGAAATGATAATTGATGTGCTGATTAACAATTTGAGCAATCAAGATGTTGTCTCCGTCTATGCTATATGGGGTATGGGGGGACTTGGAAAGACCACTCTTTCTCAATTCCTCTACAATGATAAGAGGGTAGAGAGACACTTTGAGTTGAGGATTTGGGTGTGTGTTTCTGATGATTTCAGCATACTACGGCTGACCAGGGCAATCATTGAGTCGATAGAAGGTGGTGGGTGCAATATCTCAGAGTTGGATCCACTACAACGACACCTCCAAGAAAAATTGAGTGGGAGGAGATTTTTACTTGTGCTGGATGATGTGTGGAACGAATACCATGATAAGTGGGATGGACTCAAAAATGCACTAAGGTGTGGAGCAAAAGGTAGTATGCTTGTGGTAACCACTCGAAGTGAGAAAGTTGCTCTTATGATGGCTACACTTCCAATATTTAACCTGAGATGTTTGTCGGAGGCTGATTCTCGGATTTTATTCAAGCACCATGCATTCGGGATTGGAAGGAGGGAGGAGAACTTAGAGTTGGAAACAATCGGCAAGGCAATAGTGAAGAAATGTGGTGGGGTGCCCTTGGCAATAAAGGCCCTTGGAAGCCTGTTGCGGTTTAAAAACAGCACAAGTGAATGGTTATCTGTGAAAGAAAGCGCAATTTGGGATTTAGCCGATGGTGACAATGATATCCCACCTGTCCTAAGGCTAAGTTATGACAATATATCTCCATCTTCGAGGCAATGTTTTGCTTATTGCTCAATATTTCCCAAAGACTATGAAATGGAGGTGGACATGCTGATAGAGTTTTGGATTGCAAACGACTTCATTCCATCTAAAGGAGAAACAAATCCACATCTTTTGGGCCATGACATCTTTAATAATTTGGTCTGCAGGTCTTTCTTTCAAGATGTCAAGGAGGATTACAAGGGTGACTTGACATGTAAAATGCACGATCTGATGCATGATCTTGCAATGTCTATTATGAAACAAGAATGCTACATAATAGAGCCTTGGAAGGAGCTGAAAATTCCAGAAAAAGTTCGCCATTTATCTTTTTATTGGATCTCAAATTGGATGCTTCCTCGATGCGAAGATGTGCGAAAAGTGCAATCTTTACGCTCTATTGTAGTTCAATCAAGAGGAGTGAACAAGGTGGATATTGCTACCTACATCTCAAAACAAAGTCATCTGAGAGTGTTGGAGTTGAATGGGTATCTCTTTAACAAATTACCATCGTCAATTTGGAATTTGAAACATCTTAGGTACCTGAACATGTCGGGCACTGGTATAAAAATTCCGAAATCAACGAGTTTTCTTCAAAACGTGCAGATGTTGAAGCCTGGAAATTATTGTGGGCTTCGTAAGTTGCCCAGTTATGAGGGACCAATAACGATGGCATATGGGTCAAAGTGGTGTGGAATTGAAAAACTACCATCTTCAATTGGGAATTTGAAACATCTTCGGTACCTCAACATGTCGGACTCTAGGATCAAGACCTTACCGGATTCAATGACTTGTCTGCAAAATCTACAGACATTGAAGCTGAAAGATTGCAGGCTACTTCGTAAATTGCCCAAAGGTATGAAAAATTTGAGAAATCTTAGATGTCTTGACATTAGAGGATGTGATTCTCTTGTTTGTATGCCTGCTGGACTCGGGCAGTTAAGACACCTACAGACTTTAAGCTTCTTTATTGTGGGTTCGGACCGTGGTCAACAAATAGGCGAGCTGAAAGAATTAAATCTTAGTGGTGAGTTGACCATCAAGGGACTCCATAATGTAAGAGATTCAGAGGACGCAAGAAGTGCCAACTTAAAGAGGAAGCAGGATCTTTGTGCTTTGATATTGGATTACGAGGATATCAAGACTGACAACTTACAAGATAATGATGAAGAAATTCTTGATGGTCTCCAACCTCATCCAAATCTAAAGAAGTTGAGGATATGTTCGTATCAAGGCTTGAAGTTTCCTAATTGGATGCTAGATTTGGATCTTCAAAATCTGATTAAAATCTCTCTAGTTGGATGTAAGAGATGTGAACGTCTTCCACCTCTCGGGAAACTACCCTCCCTCAAGGATCTTTCTATTTTTGCAATGGATGCTGTTAAGTGTTTCAACAATGACTACTATGGAGATGGGGAACAATCATTTCCAGCACTGGAAAAGCTCAGATTCAGTGCAATGCATAGTTTGGAGGAATGGACAACAGTTGATAGAGGAGAAATTTTTCCTCGTTTGCGGGAATTATACATCAATCAATGTCCCAGGTTGACTGAATTTCCTTGTCTTCCATCACTTGGGAGATTAAGCATACAAAACATCAATGAGATGCTATTAAGGTCGGTGATGGATCTCACTTCACTTTCCTGGCTTGAAATATTTAGGTTTGATGGGTTGGAGTTTCTTCCAGATGGACTGCTTCAAAATCACAAGGTTCTTGAGACCCTATGGATTAGTGGACTACGCAATCTCAAGACCCTGTCACATCAGCTGGATAATCTTTCTGCTCTGAAACAATTGACAGTTAAGTACTGTAATTCTCTCGAGTATTTACCAGATGGACTCAAAAACCTCAGATCCCTTGAGACACTCGAGTTACAGGATTGTGACAGCCTGACATCCTTACCGGCGACAGGGTTACAAGGCTTGTCTTCCCTGAGATCATTGAATATATATTCCTGCAAGAAACTAAGTTGTTTATCTGAAGGAGTGAAACACCTGACTGCTCTCCAATATTTGCGCATAAATAGATGTCCAAAGATGACGTCATTGCCCGAAGACATGCAACATTTAAATGCTCTCCGAGAGCTGATTGTATGGTCTTGTAATGGATTAGTTTCTCTACCGAATTGGCTAGGAAGCCTCACGTCGTTGCAGTTTTTGAATTGCCCCAACTTGATCTCCTTGCCAGATGGGCTGCAGTCACTCAAAACACTGTATATTAATGAATGTCCACATTTGGAGAGGCGATGCGAGAAAGAGAAAGGAGAGGACTGGCCAAAGATAGCTCATGTTCGTGAGATTGGGATCAATTATCGGAAAATACAGTCCTTGATCCCGCATGACTAAAATGCATCTGACGGAACAATCTTCATACGATGGTTGTGGTAGCCAGCAGCAGCTTGTGGAGCAGGCAGATAAAAATTAACTTTGGAAGGTAAATTTCTGTGACTTCCTTGTTGATGTATTATTTATTTCTCCCTGCAATTGCTCTGCTCTGCTCTGCTCTGCTCTTGGGGTCAAGTTATATTATAGCGATCCTAAACTCCCCCAAGGCATTGTAAAATATTTATTTATTTATTATAATTTGACTTCCAAAAATAATAAATTTCAGTACATTGTTTGTCTGTGGTATGACCGAACAGCCTACAGGGTCTTGTTTGTCGCCGGGTGCGTGAATAGTTGTAGGGAAGTCGGACAAACCAAAAAAGCTGATTTTTTTTCCCAATTTTTTTTTTCTTACTCTTTTTTATTTGTTCCAATTTGGTTTTCCTTCTTTTCCTTTCCAGCAATGCCATAGAAACCACAAAAAAATGGGAATTCTATAATTAGCAGATTCTTGGTTCTACTTGTGATTTTTGATGTGAAAATTAGAAGTAAGTCCCCCTAGATGTACTTGTTTGGAGATAAGTCTTACAAGAAAACTTATAAGGGTTAAGTCCATGTTTAAAATTATATGTAATGACTTAAGTCCACTTTTTTTTTTATCTCAAAAATACCCTTCCTTGAAAGGAAGTTAAATTAATTTCCTATTTTGAAAATTGTTATACCTTAATTCAATGTCAATTAAAATTAAAATTCAAAACTCTCTCTCTCTCTCTCTCTCTCTCTCTCTCGCGCGCTTTATATATATATATATATATACACCTAACTTATATATGGATATAGATAGATATGAGAGAGAAAAGATTTTAATGGTTAAGATATATATGGTTAAGACTTTTTATTGGTCATATATATATATATATATATATATATATACATAACCTATATATTTAAATTCATGTTATTATTTTTTTTATTATGTTAATGCTTTAATTGAGTCTGTTACTATTCATGTTACTATTATTTTGAATGTTACTATTTTTCATTTTTAATGTTACTATATATATATATATATATATCTGTGTGTGTGTGTGTGGATATATATAGATAAGAGAGAGAGAGATAATTTTAATGTTAATAAAATTCTTAACGTATATATGGATATAAATAGATATGAGAGATAAAATATTTTAATATTAGTCAAACTCTTAAGATTTAAGAGTTTTAATTTTTAATTTTATTTCACTTTTAAAGAGAAAGGATACTATGGTAAAATTGACAAAAAATGGACTTCATAACAAATAAGTTTCCTTGACGGACTTAAGTCCATATATGAGGACCGGCCTCCAAATTTTCCATTTTTAATAGTTGGGACAAGATAATAGTAGAAGGATTATCAGATAATTTCAAGCTATTACTTTGTTTACTCATCTTTTCATGTCAATCAAATGGATTAGTGAAGTTTAAGGGCATTTCAAGGCTTGTTAAGTCTACTTAAATCAGCTCTGAATTGCTATGGATATTTTGCAGGCAACCAAGGCAAGGGAGAGGCTACTTGAGGGTAGATCTTCATCATGAAATGCATTGATTGATTGCTTGCTGCTTCATCATAAATTTGTTGAAAAGTTGTTCAAAAATGCTGTTGCACCTGATACAATTGTGAATCGATCGAATTTATTCTATAAGAATGTCCATGTCTGTCCATTTCCATTTGTATTAATTAGTTGGTACACACGTGCGTTGTGTTGTACTTAAACTATATTACACCATTTTTATTTGTATTAACTAGTTAATGCACACGCGTGTGTTGTATGTATGTGAACCATTTTGACTTAAAATATTATTCTAAGGTGTCATTGTTATCCAAGTTACAACCATCAGAAGAAATAAATAATTATGTTTGTTGTGTTGGAGATGTCTGACCAAATATAAGCAACTGAGCTCCTTGGTCAATTCCTGCATTCTGAGCGTAATAGATTGAACTATCCTAGCGGCTAGATTATACAATAAATTTATAATACTAATGACTTATATTAGTAGAAATGAGTTCTCGTAAAAAAACAATAACTTTTCATTGTCCAAAAAAATTGTACATTTCGTATTTAAATAAAAGAAAAAATTTGAGTCACACCCTTTCTATTTTACTATATTTTCAAGGACATTTCTTCTATTATCCAAAACATCACTAACATCCTTTCTAATTTATATTTAAACATCATTGACACCCCCTATCGTTGAACCACCATTTCTTATAAATTTTTTATCTAAAATACTCAAATTACCCCTATATAAACTTCAAATAATCTTTCTACTATATTTTATATATTAAAATTTCAGTCAATTAGAATTCGATTTTTCACATATTAACAGTTGAGCCAATAAAAATTCGATTTAACTTGATTAAATTTTAATTTTTTTATATATTAAAATTCGAGTCTATTTGAACTAAACTTCAACTGTTAACATCCACTAAATTTTTTTATTTTTTTTTACATATTAAAATTGGATTCAAGTCGATTAAAATTCATTTTTTACATATTAAAATTTGAGTTAATTAAAATTTATATTTTTTTACGTATCAAAATTCGAACTGATTAAAATTCAATGTAAGTTAATTAAAATTTGATTCGAGCCAATTGACCTAAATTTTAATATCTAAAAAAATTCATAAATAAAAAAAATCTCATTAAAGATATGCCTATCTAGAAAGAATGTGGATGAAAATTTTCAACTGGCCCAAAAAAATGACAAGGTATATGAACAAACAAAATCACACACAAGAAATTTTTTATTTGAATACAAACTGTGGAATGCCTTATATTTGTTCTTCCCAATATAATAAATGCACATCTTCTTAAAAACCAGAGTAATTTGTAGATCGATTGTTTGCGGCAGAAGTCCATCAAAATTTGAAAATTCATGTAACAACTTCAATTTGTAGATCCAAAAATGTGGGAGGACAAAGGGTTAAGCCCAATTATTTGATTTTTTTGTCTTAGTTAATTGGACGAAGATAGTTTCAATACAACTTTGATCCATAGCAATTCTGATTTCACAGAAGTAATCCTTTAGGATCACATATCTAATCTATATCCTAGAATAAGTGGGCAATATTGAAATATGAAGTCAAGCAGAACTATGACTCCTAAAATAGGCAGCTATAGGCCTCCTTTCAATGGTTAGTCCATAGCCATTAGAAGCATACAGCTATCCACATCCTGGTATAAAGCGTAAAAATGATTCAACAAAAATCTTGCGAAATAGCTATTTCCGATTCTCTGAATAGTGCTGCCAATGCCTAGGCAATACCTATCCCTTGTGAGCTTGGCAATGAGTTGATGAAAAATGAAAGAGAGAGAGAGAGAGAGAGAGAGAGAAACAAATTGAACTAACCATACAAAAGAGAAAATTTAAGAATAATATTCACTGTTATGGTTTCATGGCCAAGGTTTAATGTATGAAATCACAAGGCAGGCAAATAAGTAAGCAAAGGTCAGTAAATTACGGTGATGAGCCTGCATTTGGGTTCACTTTTCTTTGGCGTTCTCAACAGAATTATAGATCAAACCAAAAAACCAGTTGATTTACCTCCTACAAAAAGGGTACTGTACTTGAACACAGAGATGGCATCCGGAGCTTTCACCTCATATATCCTCCACGATTTCTCCTCCAATTCAGCCCAAGTCAGTGTTCCAAATATCACGAGGCCATTTTGAAAATTCTTACACTTTAAGATGTTGGTTGATCATTAACTTAATATAGAATTTGCAGCCTTTAGCCATTTTCTTACACTATGATCTTGTTGGTCAAGGTTATCCTGCATACCGAGAGAGCATGTAAGCAGGTCATGATTGTGTTAATTTAATAATTCTAACTAAAAGCTAAACATGCAAACCGGCATATAATTAAACAAACCAATACTCACAAGTTATAAATCAAATAGACCTGCTATAAAAACAGGTCATGATTGTGTTAATTTAATAATTCTAACTAAAAGCTAAAGATGCAAACCGCATATAATTAAACAAACCAATACTCACAAGTAATAAATCAAATAGACCTGCTATAAAAACATACTTTTCTTGACAAAATGAAGTAGAACAAATAGACAAAAGTAATAAATCAGAGAAACCTGTTACAGAAACATTCTGAGAGAGAAGGTACCTATAACCATATGGATAAGTTAGTGGCTTCTAATGCATACCCAATATGGCGGTCGAATGTTTAATAACAAATGGGAGCTCACTTATTCCCTTGCTTTTTATTTGTTTATTTTCCTATTTTGTTTGCCCTCACTTGCTCATCCCTTGTGGTTATTGATTAACATCATAGTCTCTTTTCTCCATCTACATGTACCAGAAAGATCAGATAGAAATACCAAAGCATCACAGATACATAGACACTGTAAAAAAAGGTAACATTAATTGATTCCAAATGTGAAAAGCAACCGCGGATTGTTTCCGAAAAATGAGATATGTTTTTTATTATGTGAAAAAAATATCGAAACTAGAGTATATCACCTTCCATCTTCCTAATCAAATGTCATTCTTAAATATGTAGTATTCAGATAGATAATTTTTATGGAATGCAATTACCTACATTGTTTTAGTGATATTTATTTGATTCTCTCTCAAAAAACGTGTTTGAAAGAAAAACTAACCGAATTAGAAAAACCTATAGAAATCATGCTAAATGAACAATGGGAAATCATCAAAAGATCATAAGATAATGAATCATACATTATCATTTCTAAATGGATGGCTCACCAAAAGTGAAACAAAGAATGCAAATAAGCGCCTCATTACAAAACACAATTGACATCAATGAAACCATGAACAAACACATTGCACCAATTATTTCTGGCCGGAATCGCTGGTCTTTACACAATCTTCAAAGCTAACAATTGTATAGGCTGCTTATGAGAACTACAGACTACTAACCAATATACTCTTAGATGTCCTTATCATGAATATATGTTTGGTATGTTAATTCTATTAGATCAGCAGACCCAAAAAAGGAAAAAA